TTAAGATCTGACTACACATAGTTGTAGGGTTTTTTGCTAATTGCCAGGCCTGTTTCCCAAGCATGGCCTTGTTAAAGGATATTAAATCCCTAAAACCAAGGCCTCCCATATCTTTTCTTTGCTTTAGCAATTCCCACTTCCTCCAGTGTACTCCTTTTTTGGAGGTTTGGTTTTTCCACCAGAATGCTGCTATTTTTTGCTCAATTGCCCGACATACTGACACTGGGATCTTGAAAATTGACATCGCATACTGAGGTAATGCTTGGACAACTGTTTTTATAAGAATTTCTTTTCCTGCTTTAGACATCGTGTTCTCTTTCCACCCTTCCAGCTTCATATTTACCCTCGCTAGGATCCAAACAAACATTTGCTTTTTGGATGCTCCCAATAAGAGGGAATACCCAAGTATTTCCCTATCTTATCAATCTCCGGGACTCTCAATTCTCTTGCCATGTTCCTTCTTAATTCACAAGGGCAATCCTTACTAAAAGATATACCTGACTTGTTCAAGTTAACTACTTGCCCTGAAGCAAAGCAATACTGGTGAAGGATTGCAGCCAGGTTCTGACATTCTTGTAGCTTTCCATATAAGAAAAAGATTGAATCATCTGCAAAAAGTAGGTGAGATAGTACAGGGCAATGTCTATTTAACTTTATCCCTTTTATGGTGCCATCTTGCATAGCTCTCTTCATCAAAGCATCGATAGGAAGTTAGCAACCGGTATGAATAAGTATGGGGATAAAGAGTCCCCTTGCCTTATTCCTCTTGTAGGTTGGAAGTAAGGCAAGGGTTCCCCATTCAACTTGATACTCAATGAGGTTGTCGTAACACATTGCATGATCAAATTCACCCATCTTTCATTAAACCCCATTTTAATCATACATGCCTCCAAAAAGTCCCATTCAATCCGATCATACGCCTTTTGCATGTCTAACTTTAAGACCGCTTGGAATTTTTGTTTTCTTTTTCGAACCCTTAGCTAGTGCAAATCTTCCTGAACAACGAGGATATTATCTTGGATTTGCTGTCCTCCTACAAATGCACTCTGTTCAACTTCTATCAAATCCGGAAGCCATGGTTTCAGCCTGTTTGCTAGCACTTTTAAAATGATCTTGTATGCAAAATTACACAAGCTTATAGGTCTAAACTCTTCCAACTTCTCTCGGTTTTTTACTTTTGGCACCAAAGAGGTAAGCATTCTATTTAATTGGTGATTTAGCACTCCAGTTTGGAAAAATTTACTGACCTCAGAAAATACTTCCAGCTTGATGTCTTCCAAGTAGTGCCGAAAGAACTGGCCATTCAGTCCAAGCTGAAACGTTGCTTGCTTTACCTCTTCTAGCATTACTTCTTCTAGCAGCCTCAGGTTTGTTTCCTCCTTCACACGAGAAGAGCAGTATTCCAGCAGTGGAGTAAAATCTCGAAGCCCAACTGGGCTGTATAACTCTCTGAAGAAGTCATATGTCATCGTTTTTAGTTGTTCTTGGTCACGGGTCCAATGTCCTGCGGAGTCCTTCAGCATTGAAATTTTGTTTCGCTGTCTCCTCTGTATGGTAGTGGCGTGAAAAAACTTGTGTTTCGATCCCCCCACTTGAGCCAATTAATCCTTGAACGCATTGCCCAATACATCTCCTCCTAACTCCATAGCCTTTCAATATCATCTCTCAACTTTGTAGTTGTTCTTTTCCCTTTTATTGAGTTAATTTGTTTGTTATGCGATTAATTTACGCCATTAATTGCTTTATTCTTTCCTACCCATTTGAAAATTTCTTCTTACTCCGACTTTGTAATGCAACGGTGACTTTTCCCGGCTGATCAAGAGACTCTCATTTTCCCCGTAGGAGAAGTCCAGGCCTTATTAATTACTCCTCTGCATTCCTTATACTCTAGCCAAAATGCTTCGAAACTGAAATTCTTCTTCCTCCTCTTTTGGGCTTGAAAAATAGACAATAGGATTGGGCTATGGTTAGAACCAATAGCCGGTAATGCATATACTTCTGCCTCAGGGAATTCTAGCCTCCAAATCAAATTGCTTACTGCTCTATCAAGTCTTTCCTTGATAAGCTCTTCTCCTTCACGATTATTTGACCAGGTAAATGCGCAACCCTTACTTTCAAGGTCCAATAGTTCACATCTATATAGAAACTCCCTAAATTAATGAAGTCTACAACGTTCAGCCAATCTTGTGCCTACCTTTTCCTAATGATACATGATTTCATTGAAGTCCCCCGTGCAAACCCAGGGCAACTGATTTATCTCACTCATTCTATATATTTCATCCCACACCCTGAGTTTTGCTTGGTAGTTTGTAGGTGCATGTACAAATGTCACTCTCATTTTAGTTTTATAATTCACCTCTTCACATACAATGTCTATCATTTCAGCTGAAGCATATACAATGGAAAGAGCAGCAGAAACATCCCACATAATTGCTAAGCCTCCCCTTGTCCCAGCTGGGTTGACAACAAAGCACTCATCAAATTTCAACGTCCTCCTTAACCTGTGGATCTTCTCTTCTTGGTTTTTTGTTTCCATAAGAAATAGTACCTCGGGCCTTTCTTGAGCCACTAAGGCTCTCAAAGCTTGGACTGTCAGAGGTGTGCCCAACCCCTGAAAGTTCCAACTTAAAATCTTCATTTTGACCCCGGTGGCTTATTAAGGTTAGCCACCACAGCCCATTTTTATGTGCCTTCCAATACTTGGATTGGCGTTTCAAGCAGTTGGTCTTCATCTACTAGTAGCATATTGTTCCCTTGAGAGTTATATGGATTAAACCTTTTGATCTTCTTACGCACTGGAGTTTTCTGTCCACTTTGTTTCTTTTTGTTGGAACTAGTTGGTACACTTGTTAAATCAAGTTCCCTGGGGAGAGTCTGGTCTCCAGCCAAGATATCAGGAAATTTCACCAAATGCCCACTCTCAATGGCTAAGTTACATGTTTTAGTAAGTTTACTCTTTCTTTTCTCATTGTCATTCTGCTGAAGTTGCTAGAAGGGGCTAGAACTGCCCTTCTCATAAAGTACTATTTGTCCAGAGTGGGTAGGTATCTCCGGGATACTTTCCTCTTCCATAGGTTCATCTGAGTCTTTGCCATGAAATAACTTCCGGAATGGGCTTTTACTACTTACCTCAGCCTTCAGCCATGAGCCGAATAATCTCTCCTCATCAATGTTTAAATCCTCGACATTAAATGGCACCTCCTCACAGTCAGAGGCATAATTGCCTATTTTCCCACAAGAGAAGCAAAAATACGGGAGCCTCTCGTATATAAAGTCCATCCAGATTTTCTTTCCTCAATTATTAGCAAGCATTCCAGACTGCAGAGGTAAGTTCAAATCCAAAGTCACTCTCGCCCTTCCATAGGACACCATACCTTTAGTCTCTATTTTAGCTTCCTGCACCTGCCCTATATTTCCAGCTACACCACGAACTAATTCCTTAGAAATCCACTCAAAAGGAATCCCAAGAATATGAACCCAGAAATCGCAAGAGTCAAAATTATAACATAAGGCTGTGGTATTTGGTTCCCATTGTTTCAAAATCAAAAGATTATTCATGAAGGACCATGGACCTTGGTCCATCACTCTTTTCTTCGCAGCTTTAGAGTCAAAGGTAATAGCAAAAATACCTTGTTCTAATGGGGTAAAATCAGCATTCTCCACTCGCCATGCTCTACTCATTGTGTTTTGGAAGGCCTGAAAGTTGATTTTAGGGTTTTTGAGAAGTTGCCCTATCAGCGTTAAACGACCATCCTTTGCTTTCGCTGATGCAAGAATTACTTCCACATGTTGAGTGACTTTTTCTGACCACATTCTTCCTAATCTTTTGCAGAGAAGGGCCAGCCTCTGGTCTGAATCTTCACCCGGCTCCATGGTGGTGATTCAAAGTCGTGACTTCTGGAGTTCCCAGAACAGGATCAAGCAAAACTTACTTACCCTTCACAGTGGATTCCCAGCTTCAGAGAAGAACTCTAGGATTAGACGAAAGTGTTCGAAGCTATTTGTGTGCAGTGGATTGAAAGGGTTTTGGGTGGCGGTTTAGTATTTGTAGAAATGGACTGTTGTCAACGATTTATGATTTGTGGTGACTAAAACGGAAGTGGCTGCATTTTGCTTTAAGGGATGAAGTGAGGCAATTAGGGTTTTACAGAAACGAAGCTACCCCATTAGGTAGAGGGAAGCTCTTCCGAGAGATGAGAGGTATGTAAACATGCTTGTTCTGATTAAGTTGTGAATATTATTCTTTTCATTGTAGCGTTTAAAAGTGAATATTAAGTGAAGTTTATTCAATTAATAATGAAGTTATCCTTCAAATGATCTTGAATTGGACGGAGAAGTAATGGACTTATTCACGTAAGCAACAAAAGTTATGCTTCAAATTATAAGCATTATTTACGTAACAAGATACATTTTTCTTTTTACCTTCATTTCAAATCAAATGGAAAATTTATATATCCAAAGATTACTTTATTTTAATTACATTTTTTTAAAAAAAAATATTACATCCATTGGATAAGTCGAAAGAAAGAAATACTCAAAAATGATGATATAAATTTATTTTAATATATTTTACCCTCATGTTTATCTACTTCATTGGTAAAAGACATATAAATATACTTTTTTTTTATCTTTTCTTATTTTATAAATTTATTTTTGTAAGTGACAAACAATTGAAGATGACAAATCACTGAACTAGCATTAATCGTCGAACATAACCATTTGTCATAATTATGCCACGTGGTAATCATAGAAGGCAAATTAAGTATTGTGTAGCGAGCGTAAGAACAAATATTTTCTAACCACTAGGGGTAGCCCTATCTTTTTAGGTGAGCCGGGGGTGGGGACGTTTAGTTTTAAGTGTAGGGTTTGACTCCCACACTTGTAAAGAGGCAAGTCAAAAATCTGAAAGTGAGTTGAGAATTAAAGTAGAACAAGAAAAAAAAAAATCTCGATACTTTAATATTATGTATATAAATAGATAAACATACCCACATGCCATGGACTATTCCAACAACCGCACTAATTTTATCGCCATTAAATTATGTGCTAGTGGCGGCAACGGATAAGCGCAAGCAATAAACAAACATGGTTGCTCGAATAGTTTACCCTTTACACGAAATGGTCGTCCTCATCATCATCATCATCATCAAGAAGACGCGAATGCATCTTTTATTCCAATACATGGATAAAAAGGAGAAAGAAAATGCTTTCTATCTCGCTTCAAGGCCTGCTCGCTGCTTCTGGAGAGATCTAGGAAGAACTCTCGCTTCTGTTGGGCTTGGTCGAAACATAGTCCTGAGGGAGGTGATCAGAACAGAAAGTTTCACTGAAAAGCTACGAAGGAATTCGGAAGGATCGTACGAAAGATGGCAAAAAGAATCACAGTGATGAATTACCTGGTGAAATGCATAGCTAGGGACCCAATCGTTTGTCGCCGGATTGCTTCGGATTGCCGGCTTGCGATCCCGGCCGTTCGCGAAACCGTCGCTTTCGCACCGAATGTCGTACCCACCGGTTTGGCCGCCTTCTTCGAGAGCCCTGATGAACCCACTTCCCGTCTGACTCATCAAAAAACGAACCTCTGTCAATCTCAAACGCCAAGCACCTGAGAAGTAAAAAGGAAGCTCGGAAGAAAAACATGGAACGTGGGATCGGTCGAGCGATCGTTAATCACCGCGTGATGCTGTTTGTCGATCGATTCCAGCTCTTTGTAATACTGGGTCTCCACGAACTCAACCTGCACGTCCATGGAACCCGGTCCCGGAGCGAACAGGCCCTGACAATATGTACACGAAGCCATTCAACTCTGACCACTCTCGAGTCTCGATCAGGATCAGCAGATGCAAACACAAAAAGTTCGTGGATTCATTATTACCTCTGGAGACTGGGACTGGAGAGATCTGAACTTGTCGAGCTCGGGAATGTCGTGCTCGAAGCTGCCGGAAGAGTCGATGGGGGACGATGACGAATCGGGTTCGCTGCGGCTGGGCTTGAGAGGGCGCTTCGGGGCCAGGGAATCGAACTGGGCTCGGACCTGATCGGCGATCTTGAGCTGCTCCTCCGGGTCCGGCACCTTGTCGCTGCGGCTCGGCTTCGTCACCATCGTCCACTGACCCACCATGGTTTTCTTCGGAGCTTGCCGGTTGCTTCTCTTTCTTTTGCTTTCCTGAGGATTTTGGGGTCTCAAGTTCTAAGTGTGTCTAGGGGCGTGCCTATTTGAAAACCAGGGGCCACCTTGAAACCGCTTCATTGGACTTCGAAGCGAATCTTTCTTTGACAAAGATGAAAGAAAAACAAAAGTAAAGAAAAGAAAAACAAAAAAAAAAAGAGAGAGAAAGAAGAAAGAAAAAGAAAAAAATAAAGAAAAAAGCCCTTGGACGAAAACACCTTTGGCTGTAAATAAGATTTGACCGGCCAGTGAATTCAATTTCCTTTTTGAAATTAAGTTGGTCACTTAAGATCCTTATTTGAAATAATATCCGCTTTTGATCCTTTTTTGAAAAAAAAATGGTCCCGTTTGAAATGCTTATTTGAAATTTTCTTCATTTTTTATGAATGAATTCATATAAGCCTAGTGTGTCACATCCTGTAAACAATGTGTGATCCACGTGGGATCCATCAGAATCAAAGGCGTGATGCATTAGGTTTACATGTAACGGAACACCAAACAATTTTTCATGAAGGTGGGTCCGATTTTGTACCCTAAAACTGATTATGAGCAAGGCAGAGCAACACAAGAAAGCTTGGATAGTGGAATAACACCGCAAGTCGAAATTTCAACCTTTTCAGTGTGGGTCAAGATAGGCCTATTGATAGAATTTGTCTTGGAAAGTTAGGCCCGATCCCGATCTATTTGGGCCAAGTTGATAATGGAAAAATAGGTGACCACGATGAGATGTGAGAGACATGATGCAAGTATATCTTCTCATTTTTCATTAAACACCCTATTAGCTCTCATGCCCTCGCCATATCTATTCGCTTTGCAATTGCTTTTGGCGCTCATTTTTACATTAAATTATGATAATATTGGATAAATATCGATGTTGTGAATGAGATATGCAAATAACATAATGAAACAATCTATTTCTTTTTTACGCACTGTGATTACTGCCAAAATATCATTATACTTCCTAAGTTTTTAATCTTCTTAGCGACCTTGAAATGATATCTACAAAAAGTTGGTTGGTGTGTAAAAAGACGATCCCCTACAATTCGAGTTGAAAGCGAGGAAAGATATATGTGTGTGTATTTGTGTTTGTAAGACATGTAATCAGCAAGTACAAAATTCGGGAAAGAAAAATGAAAGACTTGATTTTATGAATTTCCATCTTGAGTGTTGGTAGTTTACTTGTTCTGGAAACTCAGAAGTTTATTAGTAATGGAGAAGAACAGTTTTTTTTTGGTCAAGAGAAGAAGAAGCAGTTTGGAGGTTGTTTTTTTGGGTAATATCACGAAAAACCTCAAACTTTTTGTGACAAATTTACCAAAAACTAATTTTTTGACCACAAAAAACTCCAAACCGATACACCTGTGACAAATTTACCCTCCGTTAGATTGGATTAATACTACGAAAAATCACAAACTGGTAAAACTATGACAAAAGGAGGGATAAAACTCTAAACTGATACACCCGTTAATAGTTACGTGACATTCAACTTAGCAATTTGACGATAAAATTTAATAGAAACTAATGGAGGATAAAATTATTACAGGTGTATCAGTTTGGACGGTATATGCGAAATAAAATCTAGATATATGTAACCTACAATGCCTCTAGTTTAAAAGTGTAGAGGGGACGTAACAAGAAAAATGGATAAGGTTTGTACAAACTGTATGTTTTATTTGGCATTGAATTTTGCCATTATTGGCGAATTTGATTCTTGAGATTTTTTAAAATGGATGATGGGCTTTTAAGCAAATATTTAGGTATCAACAGTAACCTATCTTTGAAGGAGATCTTAAACCTTCAAAGAATAACACCTTAGTCTTACCAGCAAAACATACGATGGAACGTGAGTATGGACTATTGACACTTGACTTTCACTTGCAATTCAACATGCATTTTTTTTAAAGAAAATCATCTTAGGGATCTAATTAGCCGATAATGACAAAATTTGACCCCTGACCAAAAACAGTCACTTTTTAACCATGCATCCATTTTTGTCACTACATCCCTTCTTCCCGTCGGAATTAGAAGCATTTTAGTTCCTTAGTTTATAGGTTTCATTCCATATAGGTCATTCATGCATTCCATGAAAATTAAAAATTGAATTCTACGTTAAACGGTAGGATTCGACCTTTGACCCTATGCCAATCCGGAAACATCTGCATTTAGGAACTAGGCACCGCTTCTAAATGTTGAGGAAAACTCCTAATAATTTTGAAGTTGACAAAACCTTCCACATAATTATAAGTCTGATACTTATTCTGAACTAATTTATTCAAGGTATTTATATTATGGAAACTCGGAAAGGAAGTTATTCGGACTTTACAAGTTTGTCAAGTATGTTTTGAAGACCCACATAATCTAGGTTAGAGATTCGGACGCGAGAAGTTATTCGGATGCGACGCGAAGTTATTCGGATGGAGACGCGAGACGAGAAATTATTCGGGACGCAGAATTTCTTCCGGACGCCTTGAATTCGAAACGAAACACAACAACTAGTGATCGGCATGGATTTCCACTGAAAGGAATGTTACGATTGTCTCAATCTCAATCAAATTGATTGACAATCAAACATTACGACAAGAATGCATTTCAACGGACAAAGCTCTACTTATGGAAACCAAGATTCTGATTGTATGGGTGACCAGAATCAGCGGGATTCAGAATCTGTCATCCAACGGCTACTCAATCCTTATTATACAAATCTGTCTAAGGTGAAGATTGGAAGATGATCCTCTGAAAGCTGTCCAACGGCTAGTAAAAGAGTATTTAAGGAGATCAACGAGCAGCAGAAGGAATACAGAATCAAGAATCAACAAGTCCAAAGTCTGAGCATATTCCAATCATTTCTCTTGTCGTTCTGAGCCAAATATTAAGATCTTGAGGGACGCTTTGTAAGAGTGATTGTGTGAGATAGAGAGTCCTATCATACACAAGAGTGTTAACACTCAGAAGTTGTAATTCCTCTTGATTACATAGTGAAATCCAACCGGTAGGCTTTAAGCGTGGGAGAGTAGACGTAGGCTTGCTATAAGCCGAACCACTATAAACTTGTGTGCAGATTTTCTATCCCTTATCTCTTTATTTACATTCTGCACATCAAGAGCATTGTCTATATATACTGTTTTGAATCTGAATTTTATTCAGACTCAACTGTGTTCTTTAATTTCTGCATAAATTGACAAAATTGTTTAAGATCACCTATTCACCCCCCTCTAGGTGATCCTTGCTAGCTACATCACTAAAAACAACCAAATATCCATACATTCCTACGCCTCCCTGCAAAACAAATTCCAGCATTTATAACTTCCAACCTACATCCAACATTTAACACATTTGTCAGCGGACATACCTTATTTTACAACGTGATTTTGATCCACTACCTACAAAGAAACATGTTAGTTGACAAATAATTAAGTGTTGACACCTAAATTTTAACTAACCATTTAATGATTAATTCAACAGAAAATGAGGGATTAAATTTTAACCCATAAATAAAAATATTAAAATTGCATGGTATTTAGTTTAGGTTCATATAGGTTAATTGCATTCCACGTTGGACTGGCGAGAAAAACTGAAAATCCATCACACAAATCGAGGTCAAGCGCCGAACAAAGCTCGACTCACTCAGAAGATGGGGGCCAAAGGTCACAAGTCTAAAAAGCCTTGGTTATTTTAATTTGAGCTTAAGTCAACTCATTGTGCTCAATTAGAGAAAAAATCCAAATTAATTCAGCCCATTGGAAGTTAAAATTAGATAATAAAGCCTAAGTCAAAGCCCACTAGGATTAGAAAAGTCTTGTCAATTAACCTAGGTATGCGATATAAATATATGGTTATGCCTCATAATTTAGGGGAGGCTCTCATAATTTCCGCTAGTCCCCCTCCTGGCCGAGTCTTCCCCAGCCGCGGCTCTCGCCCCATTGCGCCTTTGGCCGCGTTGCCATGCCTCGTTCACAGCTAGACTTGTGACCGCGAGACGATGCTCCTACCATGCCGATGACGTCCGTGAGTTGCCGCTGCTATGCCCAGACCCGACGCTGCCGCTTACACCCAACGCCGACGTGAGCCGCTGCTGATTCGAGCCCGACCAGCACTCCCGTTGCTGCTGCCGATCCATCGCCCGTTCCCTCGTCGCTGCGCCAGACCACCGCTTGACCAACGTTTAGCACACGATAGAAGGAACCGAGGATAGAGAGATCCACTCACGTGGGGGCCACAATGGATACACACGGCCACATTGAGAGAGGAGAATCGTAGGATTCGGTCATAATACACTGACTACACGAAGAAGGCGCTCCCAGGAAGACTGGTAACATTTATTAATTCAGGCATTCAAAGAAGACTTGGGCAAATTGGTCTATCTCCTCTGCAAGGACACCACTTTCACGAAGCAGGGAGAGGAAAAGAAAAAAAGTTGCACTTTTTCTTTTACCGCGCATCCCGGATTTTCGAGAAACTACATTCTGGCCGCAAACAGCGACTGCGAAGTCCAGCCGTGCCTCCGCTTGGCCCGCCAAACCGACGCCGCTGCTGCCGCCACCTGAACCCGCACCGCTGCTGTTCCCGATCCATTGTTGCCGTACTGACACCGCTGCTGCAGTGGTGTCCGTGAGCCCGGAGCCTATCAAGCCACCGCGACTACCGTCGATGCGCCCGCCGCCGGCGCGTCCCATAATCCGAAGTCCCGATCTGAACCGAATTCAAACTTGGAAGTTATCCGTGAAATTAGGTAAGATTATTATCCGAATATTTCTTTTAAATATTTAATTTCCTAGTTTTCAGATAATTTAGATTATTTCATGGATATTCTTTGGTGGTTTGCTAGATATCTTAGGATAATGGTTGTGATATCTGCAAATATCCTAAGATACTTCGAATTAGAATTTTGCCCTAATTTAACAACGTGCAGGCGACTATCTAACCTTAACCCTACAATGCGATCGCGGCGTGCGGATTAATTGTTATCTTATCCATAACTTAGCTTGGATATAATGATGGATCTTATCCCTTTCCAAATCAAACAATCGGCTTTGGATCGATAT